TGCAAGGCTGTTTCCAGCTTTTGGCTGTTACGGGTAGTTCTGCCAGCAGCATATATAGGTTTTTGTCATTTTTGTTCTGTTTTTCATTTTGGTGGCAGTTGTAAATTGCGAAGTTTACATGCCTGTGTGTAAATTTTCATGTGGATGTGTGTTTTCATTTCTTTGATTCTCCAGGTGATGTCAATACACAGGATACATGGTTGGTGGCGTCTGGCCTGAAAGTGCTGGCAGGCAGAGTTTAGGAAGCCAGGGAGGACCCACCCTGTTCCCCTCTTAGCTTGTGCTCCTTCTCCATACCTTCAGCGCTGTTCCCCTTTACCTGCCCCCTTCTGCCCAGCAGCCAGTTAAGCAGCTCCTGTGGCTTCCCTTGCAGGAGGTGGGCCCCACCATGGTGGGCGATGAGCATTCGGATCCGGAGCTGATGCAGCACCTGGGGGCCACAAAGAGACGTGTCCTGGGAAACAACTTGTGAGTAGTGGCGTCCTTCAGCGCCTTCTTTCTCCCTGGCAGTGCCTCCTCCTGCCTCCCCCTTTACACAACCAACACACCATTGCACGACAACATGCATTCATCTGTAATCCCCCACAGGGAGAGTTTCCCACAAGCCCCCAGTCTTCCTTCACAAGGCAGCTCATCTTTAGTGGAAGTCTGTGGAAGCACAGCCTGTCCTGAGTCTGGGGCTCTGGAAATGAACTCTCCCTTTCCGTGTCCTCTCTGCTCTAAACTGGATCCCATCAGCAAAGGCAATAGGGCTGGCTGAGTAACAGAGCAGGACACCTGGGGCCTCTTTCCAGCTCTTGGCTGCCCGGCATTTGGCCATTTCCTGCAGCGTATTTTACAGCATCCCTGCCTGAATGCCACTGCTTCCCTTTCTGATTCCTTGCCCTGTGTTAGTGTCTATTTCCACAGACACCATGACCAAGGAAGCATTTAATAGGGGACTTGCTTACAGTTTTAGAGTCCATGATCATGGTGGGGAGCGTGGCAGCATGAGACAGGTGCTGGAGCAGTAGCTGAGAGCTTTGCATCCTGATTTGCAGGCCCAGAGAGAGAGAGACAGAGACTGGGCCTGGAATGGGCTTTGAAAATGTCAAAGCCCACACCCAGGGACACACTTCCTCCAAGGCCACACCTTCCAATCCTTCCAATCCTTCTCAAGCAGTTCCACTTCCTGGTAACCAAGCATTCAGATAGATGAGCCTTTGAGGGCTCCTTTCATTCAGGCCACCACAGCAACTTATGAGAGGAAGCATTTAATTGGGGACTTGCATTGAGTGAGTGAACCCATAACCAAAATGGCAAGGAGCATGGCAGCAGGCAGACAGGAGCAGTAGCTGACCCATCTGACCCAGAGCAGAAGGCAGAGAGACACTTGCCCTGATGGCCTCCTCCAGTGGCCCACCTCCTCCAAGACCAGTTTCCAATGCTTCCCAAAACAGGCCCACCAGCTGGAGACCAAACATTCGATGATACAAGTCTGTAGGGGCCATTCTCATTCAAACCAGCACAGCCTCCCTATTATAAAGCAGGTTCAGGGATCCTCAGAAGAATTGCCATCCCAAGTGCAAGGAGGGGAGAAAGACAGACAGATCCCAGCCCTTGACCAAGGCAGGGAGGAGCCAATCCCATCCCTTGCCATGAGTCATTTGCTTCAAGATGCCAAGCTTGGGGTTCGGGGCCCGTATCTGCTTCATGCTCTCTACAACTCAAGGGAAATCAAACTTTCTGTGCCAGAAAAGGGCACATGGATCCAGGTGCTAACCTTATTTGTTCTTCAGAGTTGCAAGACAGCTAGAGAGGGGCCTGAGCCCTGAAGAGGGGAGACTGCCTAGTGGGGTGCTCAGACTAACACACACAGCAGCCGTAAGGCTACCGTGGGGTCTGCTATTCACGGCAGCCAGAGCTAACCAGCCTGTTTTCTCACGTATCAGCACAACAGTGATGGCACCTTCATCAGACGGGGAGAATAAAGCAAAGTGTGTAGCATGGGACAGAACAGAGGGTGTGCACTTAGCCTCTCACCAGGCAAGTGCCCGGCAAACAGGCCTGGCTCTGGCCGGGTGCCTGCTCTGCTTCTCCTCACCTCGCTCTCCTGGTTTCTTCACAGCTATGAATACTATGTCAACGACCCTCCTCGCATAGTCCTGGACAAGCTGGAACTCAGGGGCTTCCGTGTGTTGAGCATGACAGGGGTGGGCCAGACGCTGGTGTGGTGCCTGTACAAGGAATGACCTGTGGACAGAGCACCTTCGGAGGGCCTGGCTTGTGCCCTGAGCCCCAATCCTTGCAACATTGTCTGCCTTGCCTGCCTCTTTCTAAACTGTCAGGTTCCTTGCCCAACCCTGATGGCTGCGCAGCCTAAGGAGCCTTGCTCCAGTTCCTTGGGCACAGCAGGCCTTGCCCTGGTCTGGTCAGCTCCCCCAGCTAGGGGCCTCTTGCTCTAGGCCATGTGCTGAAGGAGGCTACCCAGAGGACACTCCCTGGATCCTGCACAGCTAGTCCAAGCCAATAAAAGGCTCTCATGAGTGGATGATGTTCCTTAGCTTTGTTGTGCAGTGACTCTTGAAATACAACATTCTTTACTGTCCCTTGACCTGAGTGGAGCCCTCTCAGATAAAGTCCAGCTCATGACAAAGAAAAGTAGACTGTTTTATATATATATATAAAAAAGTTTATTAGTGATGATGCACAAAAGTGTGTGGGGTGGGAGAGCTGGAGCCGGGGCTACGTGGGCTTCCCCTCATCTTCCTGCTGCATCTGCGCGATCAGCTGCTGGCGCTCAGCTGCCTGGCGCATGCGCATCATGACAAGACTCTCATAGTCCCTTTCTGACCGCACTGAGCCCTGGGAACAGAAGGGACAAAAAAGTCAGGCTAGCAGGCACGGCCCCACAGATTCCAGATTCAGTATCAGGCCTGGGCCTAGACAGAACCAAGTTAAAAGCTGAAGAGGAAGAAGGGGCGGAGGAAGGACCCAGACATCTTGGATTCCGACTTCTCCAGGAGCCTAGAGAGCAGGCCTGTGCTCCCCAGGCTGCTTCTCCATTAGCTCCTCATCCACTCATCTCTAAGCTCCCCTGGCCTCCCTGTCCCCAGGATGTCACATCTCTCTCCATCCTGCTCTAGTCCAGGCCTCAGCCCTTTATCTGCCTCTCCTTCCCTCCGCCCATGGCTTCTGCCTGGCAGGTTTCCAACAGAAGAGGAGGTCTGAGGTCTACTGGACACAGCAGAGCTCTTCCCCTGTGGTCTGGCCTGCTGAGGACACAAAAGGGGGCCTTGCCCTCTCCACAAGTATGAGCCCAGCTTGCCTCGTAAAGACAAGACCAGGCTACTATAGGTAGGGTCCTTGGCTTTCTTTTAAGATCTTGCTAGCCATGCAGGGGACTGAGGAGGGGTTCACTTCGATAACCCAAGAACAACAGCCAGCCAGCCACAGGCCAAAGCTGTGGAAGGGAAGCAGCCTGACAACAGAGCACTGTGTGGCCAAGCCTGTCAGGCCAACGGTATGAATCAGACCGTTTCCTCCCTTGGCACCGCTGGAGCTGTGACACCCCTTATATGATTCTACAGTAGATAGAGGGGTGGGAAACCCACCAGCGATGGGACAGAGCCAAGCCAGGACAGCAGTACCAAGTGTGGTGGCCCAACTGTAACAAAAGAGTTGTGGGGCCCTAGGGGGGGGGGACGACCCCAGGCTGGTGCGCTCCCACAGTAGAAGGCTTGGAAGTCAGTGACCCGGGGAATAACATGGGAGTGGCTGAAGCTGGGCCGCCAGGCTCTGGCTAACTTGTTTGGAGTCAGGGGTGCAGATAAACAGGAAGTGACACTCAATCTGGTCCCCCTGTCTTTATACCTCCCCCATCCCTAGAAATAACCTCTTCTCAGCCACCCTCCCCCCAACCACTGGCAATTCAGGGCAGCTTCACACATACTGGCCCCCTCTACAAGAGGGTCCCCAAATGAGGTCCCCGAGCCAGAGGGAGAGCACTGGAGCAGCAGAGCAGCAGCCGGCCGGGCACTGATGTCCCCGCTGTGGGGAGGGCGCTGCTCCTTCCCCAAGTTCATACTGCTCTACCAAGAAAACTTCAAGTCACCCCTGGCATGCCCCCAGAACCCTGGGAGGAGTAAGCCCTTTACAGGCATGGGGCTGGTACCGGTTAACACACCCTCCACATCCGTCCCCACCATTCCTGTGGCCTGCCTAATGAAGGCCTGTCAACCAGCCCAAGGGCTGAGTCACCCACACCGGCAGGTCTCCTCTCTTCCTTCTCCAACAACTGTTCCAAAAATTGCCTTTCAATTAGCACCACCTCCCTGGGCTCTTCCCAGAGCCGACTGGGGCTAGGGAGCTAGGCAGGCCTGCTGGGGTCACGGTGGCAGCGGAGCTTTGACTGGACAGGAAGTCACCTGGTGACACACCGGGCAGGGCTGTCCCCAGACCACTCCCCAGAGGAATCTGAAGCGTCCTACTGCCCTGGGGTGTTGGTCACAGCTGCCCCAGTCCCAGCCTGAGGATGCTGCAATTACCTCAGAGCATGAAACCAGCTTCCCACCTGACTGAGTCAGCTGAAAACAAAACACATCTCTACCACACGCTGGCACAAACAGTCACGCCACTAATCAGAGTCCCCAGATGCTAGCAGAGAGAGCACAGCCCCACACTGGCCAGGAGATCGGCACATGCCACCAACTACCAGAGAGAGAGTGCCGCAGCCTGAAGAAGTGCACGCTCCCCTCCGGAGGTCCCGCCCTGCCCACCAGGCCCTCGGCCTTGTTTGACTCCGGCCCTGCTCTGTAAGTACCGCTGCTTCCTTTGGTTTTTTTCTACATGCCCGTCAAGTAACCAGGCCACTCTTATCTAGGCGGAGACTCCCAGCACTCTGATCTCCCGGACAAACTCTCCCTCCTGCTAGCCTCGTCTCACCATCCAAGATGCAACAAGACAAAGCGTGCAGCCTCTGCTCCTAGCCCTTGAGGGGTGTCGTCCCAGTTTCTGGCCTCCAGTCTGCTGGCAAATGGCCACAAGCTGCTGCTGAGCCCCTTTGTGGGGTTTCTCAGATGCCAGACCTGTTGGCTGACTTAGGAGCTCCATGGAGACTTGGCGGAAAGGCTCCTTCCGCAATGCCTCCTTCTTCAAGAGAATGACCCTGGGGCGGCCGCGGCAACTGCGGAGACAGGGCAGCACACTCAGCCAGGCCAGCACTGCTGGTGGTGACCACGAGGAGTACAGCAACAGAGAAGTCATCCGGGAACTTCGAGGGAGGTCAGACGGCCGGCGTCTGCCCTTGTGGGGAGATGAGCAGCCCCGAGCCACTCTGCTGGCCCCACCCAAGCCCCCACGTCTCTACCGAGAGAGCTCCAGTTGCCCCAATATTCTGGAGCCCCCAGCAACCTACACTGCCGCCTACTCGGCCACCCTGCCTTCAGCCATCTCCCTGACAGGCCCTCTCCACCAGTGCTCACAAGAGGACCTTTTGGATACTCCCCATTTCCCGAGGACACCTACTCCGGACCTCAATGACCCTTTCTTTTCCTTCAAAGTGGACCTGGGGATTTCACTTCTGGAAGAAGTTCTTCAGATGCTGAGGGAGCAGTTTCCTAGTGAGCCCCACTTCTGACCCCGGTGAGGACAGAGAGAACTGAGGTGACTGGAGCCTGGGAGACCTAGGCAGGTAAAGTGTGGATTATGGAGCAGGTGGAGACATAAGCCACAGTGCAGCCGGCCCCGACTGCTGAGCAATCCTCAAGTCACCCGGAGTGAAGGACAGAAGCCAGCTGGGAAAGTATGGGGGTCCCTCTCTGGCAGGAGCCCTGAAGGAAGCTGGAAAGGTCAGAAAAGGAAGCCACACCTGCAAACACAGGAACTGGTCATAGGTCAGGGGAGAGATAGGGTGGCACAGGGCGAGTCAGGAAGTCGGACTCAGACCAGCCTCTAGAACCACTGTCAACAGAGAAATCATAGGCTACATCTAGGAAGAAGCTGTCTAACTGAGATTAAGAGGAAGGCCGGAGAGAGCAGAGGTAGAAAAGCCACCTCTCACTTCCTATGCTTGTTTAATTGAAGTAAAAGCAAACCGAGCCGGGCGGTGGTGGCGCACGCCTTTAATCCCAGCACTCAGGAGGCAGAGGCAGGCGGATCTCTGTGAGTTCGAGACCAGCCTGGTCTACAAGAGCTAGTTCCAGGACAGGCTCCAAAACCACAGAGAAACCCTGTCTCGAAAAACCAAAAAAAAAAAAAAAAAAGCAAACCGAAAGTTCGGTTCCAGAGGCTTGGAGAAATGGCTCAGTGGATAAAGAGTTTGTATGCAGGCAGGAAGGCCTGAGTTCAGACCTCCAGTACCTACATGAAAAAAGCCAGACAGGTTTGACAGCCTGCCTGGAATTCCCGTGTTCAGGATGCAGGCACCAGGAGTCCCAGGGGGGCAGGCTGGCTGGCTAGACTAGTCAGATTGGCAGACTCTAGGCCCACGCACACACACACACTCAAACATACACTATACAGACACAAACACAAATCAGTTCCTTTTCACCTTAGCCAATGTTTGCTTGTTTTTGAGACAAGGTCTCTTACGTAGTACGGATGGCCTTAAGCTTGATGCTCCTGGGACTGCAGGCATGTGCCACCACACCCAGTTGTTTGGGCCGCACTGGGAGCCAAACCCAGAGCTTCACGCATGCCAAGCAAGTACTCTACCAAAATGGCCACATGCCAGCCCTCTAGCCACATTTTAAAGATGTTTTTAAAAATTATTTTTAATTGTGTGTGTGTGTGTGTGTGTGTGTGTGTGTGTGCATGCACACACGTATACACAGGTGCCTGCAGAGGCCAAAGGTGTGAGATGCCCCTAGAGCCAGAGTTACAGGCAGTTGTGAGCCACTTGATATGGTTGCTAGGAATTGAACTCGGGTCCTCCGGAAGAATAGTGTCTGTTCTTAATTGATAAGCCATCTTTCCAGCCTACCTAGCCATATTTTAAATCAACAGCCGCACCTGATTCATGGCTACCAGACAGTATGACATAGTTAGACCGAAGTCCACCAGATGGTGCTGGCCAGACACTAGTGCGGAAACAGCAGAAACTTGTCTAAGGAAAGGAAAATGCCACCCGGGATGCAGATGCAGGAGGGGCTGACAGAGCAGGAGAGGCAGGTGGAGGAAAAGGCAGGGGAATGCCCAACAATCATTACCAAACAGAGCGTGAGACTCAAGCTGCTCACAGGTCCTAAGCAATCCTGTGAGGAGTGTTCTGGGAACTCCCACAGTGTTATGTATGGGGGCCTCTTGGGGGCCTCTGGGAAAGGCTGACAGCAGCCTTCCTTCCCAGCAGAGGGATGACTTGATCAGGGAAAGAACAATGCACCAAGCAGCTCCAGAATCTTCCACCAGGCGGGGAGTTCTACCTTGCCCCAAACAGGCCAAGGCTGCACCTGTGACTACCCCAGTCTGTGGCTCGGCCACATCTGAATCCAGAACTCAGAAGTGCTGGACACATGGGTCTGGCCCCCAGGCTACTCCGAATGTGAAAGAAGGGTGGAGGGAAGGCTGACACACCCTGTGTCTCTCCTGTGCCCTGCGCCTGTGCAGAGGTGCCCAGCTGAGGGCTCTGGATACAGAGGCAGTGAATAAAGGTTTTCTAATGCAGCCTACAGAGAGTGACCTGGATGTGGAAGGCTGAAACTGAGTGGTGGAGGAACAGGCTTCTAAATCAAGATCCTGAGCCGGCCTAGACCACTTCATGTCCCTCCTCTACCCAGGGTCTGCGACACTGTGGTGGTGTGAATGAGAATGCCCCAAAGACTCATGTGTTTGAATGCTTGCTGCCCAGTTGCTGGAACTGTTTGGGGAGAATTAGCAGGTGTGGTCTTCTTGGGGGGGGGGGGGGAGTGTCCTGGGGGTGGGCTTTGAGGTTTCAAAAGCCCGTGCCATTCCCAGTTAGCTCTCTCTCTGCTTGTGGTCGTTACCTCAGCATATAAGCTTGCAGCTACTGCTCCAGCATCCTGCCTACTACCGTACCTACACTAATGGCCATGGGCTCTATAACCTCTGGAGCCATGAGACCCCCACTTAAATGCTTTCCTTTATAAATTGCCTTGGTTATGGTGACAAAACTGTCATGGCAGTAGAAAAGTAACTAAGATAGGCACACTCCCCAGAACTCCCAACCTCTCAGGCAGGGACAGGCACAGGTAGTCAGACAGAGACCCTAATAACTCTGGGAGGCTGTGGACATGCCAATAGGTACCCAGGCTGTTTCAGAGAAGAGAAGGCCAGGAGCTCCTGCCCCCAAAGCACTTATCTCTCCAGCAAAAGTGACCAGGAGTCTATGCCCCAACTCTGCAGTCAGGCTGAAAAACTGGGCCATCAAAGATAGAGTGAACACTAGCCTCTGTGGAGTCGGGAGGACCGAGACAGTGAACACTAGCCTCTGTGGAGTTGGGAGGACCGAGACAGTGAACACTAGCCTCTGTGGAGTCTGGGGGACAGAGACAGTGAACACTAGCCTCTGTGGAGTCTGGGGGACTGAGACAGTGAACACTAGCCTCTGTGGAGTCTGGGGGACTGAGACGAGAGAGCACTAGCCTCTGTGGAGTCTAGGGGACTGAGACAGTGAACATTAGCCTCTGTGGAGTCTGGGGGACTGAGACAAGAGAGCACTAGCCTCTGTGGAGTCAGGAGGACCGAGATGAGTGAGCACTAGCCTCTGTGGAGTTGGGAGGACCGAGATGAGTGAGCACTAGCCTCTGTGGAGTCTGGGGGACTGAGACGAGAGAGCACTAGCCTCTGTGGAGTCGAGAGGACTCAGGCAGCTAGAAGGAGCACAAGTGGCCACAAGCGGAGCAGCAGAGCACTCCAGGTTCAACACAGGGTGGGATGCTCTCTCTAGAGGAGACGAGCTCATAGCGTCTGCTCTAGTCACCTGCCTGCTGGCCTCTTCATCCAGCACAGGGATGTCTGACCTCCAAATCCAACGAGAGCTTCAACAGGAGACATGCATGGGCCAATTTTTTTCTTTTCTTTTTCTCTTTTCTTTTTGCTTTTTCAAGACAGGGACTCTCTGTGTAGTCCTGGCTATTCTAGAACTCACTCTGTAGACCACGTTGGCTTTGAACTCAGAGATCCACCTGCCTCTGCCTCCCAAGTGCTGGGACTAAAGGTGTGCGCCACCATGTCTGGCATGGGCCGACTTTTGTGTCTCTCTGAACGTGTACTTCAGTGGTAGCATGTGGGTTAATTATGAGCAGGACTCTGGGTTCGATACAGTGCCAGAAAAAAAAATAGAAAAGAAAAAAACAGCCGGGCGGTGGTGGCGCACGCCTTTAATCCCAGCACTCGGGAGGCAGAGGCAGGCGGATCTCTGTGAGTTCGAAACCAGCCTGGTCTACAAGAGCTAGTTCCAGGACAGGCTCCAAAACCACAGAGAAACCCTGTCTCGAAAAACCAAAAAAAAAAAAAAAAAAAAAAAGAAAAAAACACCAGGTTGTGGTGCATGCCTTTAATCTCAGCACTTGGGAGGCAGAGGCAGGTAGATCTCTGAGTTTGATGCCAGCCTGATCTACAGAATGAGTTCCAGGACAGCCAGAGCTACACAGAGAAACCCTGTCTCCAAAAAACCAAAAAAAAAAAAAAAAAGGAAGGAAGGAAAGAAGAAATAGGGTCCTTTGGTACTGTTAAGTTGGGAGCGTAACCCCTGCCCCTGGCATCCATCCCAGCCCCCTGGCCTGGGAGTTGCATTGGTCAGGACTCCAAATCCCAACATGCCAGGCTCTGACCCCTCCCTGGGGGAGGGTCAAGACCATTCCCACAGGGTATTTAAGTGGGCTCCCAGAGGAGAAACACATGGTTTAGGGTTTGCACGTGCTCCCCACTTTCCTGTCTCCCCACCATGCGCTCAGCCACCCGAGAGCACCGTATTTAATAAAACGATGGGCATTTTAATTTGGTTTGATCTAGTTGGATTTCTCTGCGCCGGCGGAGCTGCCCCTCTTAGGATTTATTCCTAACAGGTACCTCCTAGAGAATAGGGGTGAGCAGAGGGCCCTCTTGGACTGACTGAACACACCCACTGCATTTTACTCCGATCTGGACTTGGGAACAAAGGGCCTGAGAAAGTAGAAGCTGAAAGGATCCCAGACCCCAAGCAGACCCAGCGGTGACTCCTGGCTTTTTACCTTTGATAATCCTGCGTCACTGTGACCCACTGTGTCCTGGGGCTGTCCCTCCAACCAGGAAATCTTCAGAGGGTTGTCCACCAGGCCCACTTCATTTTTGACAGCCAGCTCCTGCCAAACAGAGTCTCTAGTCCCTGCCCATCTGATCCAGTTATAAGGGGCTCTTTCTACCCCACAGAAAGACTAAGACAAACATAGTGTTTCAAGCAGATCTAGGTAACCTCAGCAACCTGCAAACAACGCTATGCTGAAGCTGACCCTTTTGGGAGAATGGAGTAGATGCACCTTCTAATTTGGAGAAAGAAAAAAGAATATTCAGGGTTGGGAGGCCATGCTGGGGCAGGGTATATGGTGTGGTATGGAGTAGGGAGAGTGAACTAAGCCAAAGCATTCCCCCATGCAATCTTGAAGCCAGGAGACCTTTGGGAAGATTCAACTCTTGGACTGTCCTGAAGACCCATAGGCAGTGTGGGGACCTGTGAAAGTGGGCTCCTGCCCAGAATGACAGGTCTTGCCAGTGCACTCACCGCGGCCCTGACAGTTGCAAATTCCACTATGGCGTTGCCTGCCTTCTTTCTGGAAAGCACCAGGTTGAGAACCTCTCCATACTGTGGGGACAAGAGCGCACAGTAAGTACAGCTGGACACACAACACGGCCCGCTATGCTACAGTCCAACCTGGAATATGTTAGGACTAGGGACCCAGAGAGGCTAAGCTGGAAAGAGCTGTTTTCATTTCCTAAGGTATACAGTCAGCAACGGGGAGACAGGCGGAGCTCCAAGACCTAGGTTAGCACACAGCAGCGCTGTCTCAACTTCTGGAAGAGGAAAAAGGAGGGGGTGTTCATTCCAGACAGCCACCTCCACTCCCCAGCACATGCAGCTAAAGCCTGAGCTTTATGGAAAGGGTTAGGCGTAGGCACCAGAGGGGCACAAGATCACTCAGTTCTAGGGGAG